GTGTGCTCATATAATATCCATGTTCTCCAGCCTTAAAAACAAAACCCCAAAGGCAGAACAAGACTTCTGACCTGGTAGCTAAGACAGGATGGCCATGATACAACTGCCAAGCAAAAAAAACACTTCAAAACAGGAATTTCAGGATTTTTGTATATTTAGACAAAGTCTAATCCAGTTTTCAGAAAGTATAATCAAGTTTTATCATTATATAGACTGACTTTATCCTATTCATAACCATGTGAAGGATTATTTAAAAATACTGACATTGCAATCCATACAATGTTTCTTTCTGAAATATCCAATCTGTGGAATGACACAAACAATACAATTTCACCCTTGCCATTAACAGAACAGCTATTCAAGAAGGCCAGATGATGCAAGCCAGAAGAAATCATGTTAACAGTTGCAGGAGAATTCAAAGTGCCCTTTCTCTTAAAAAAAAATCCCTATTAAATGGAAATTAGAAGCATTTTATTTTCAGATGTCAAAACAGAGGATTAGAGGAAAATGAACATCACTACGCTGGGTTATTTACAAGCTTCCAGGCTGAATTTTGGTCAATCACAGACATACATCAAAACATTTCTGTCCTGAAAAAAAATGAACTTCAACGCAGCAACTTCACACATGCAAGTCAAGAAGCAAACAGCTTCCCCAGGATTACCTTCCAGTGTCAGGGAAATTACAATGTTCAACTCATTTAAAACAACAGCAGTTCCTAAACAAACCAAGACATGCGGGCACATAAACCTCCCTCCCTTCCACACATACTCTTTATTGCCTCTGTGTCCCCTAGAAACAGCACATAATACTAATTTGTCCAAAATTACAGCCTTTCAGCAAACAACACCTCTGTCAGTCTTTTGTGAGTAATTGTCTTTCCAAATAAACAGGCATGAACTATCAATCAGTTAAACAAGCAAACCAACCCTTTGAACGGGGTTTGGAACCTGCAGGATGGAGGAAGACCACAAAACTGTTTACTTCATCATCCCTCCTCTGCAGGGCTCTCCTGATGAAAAAGAAAAAATGGTTGTGAAGGCTGGGGAGGACACAGGAGTTGAGAAAGGTTTGCAAGCTGGGAAGGAAAAGAAAGCCAAGTAGTTCAAGTCTCTCTTCCCACACCCCAAACAAACAACTTTTCTATAAGAAGGTAACAAGCAGCTTTTCTGCACGAAAAATCTCTTCAGAATGAAAAAAAAAAAAAATAAAAATCAGAAATTATTTAAATGACTCCCTGGATGAAAAACCTCGAGAATGGTGCAAAGCCAGAGCCAGCAGGACCTGGATTGTCCATCTGGTCAGGCAAGAAAGCACAACCCAGCCCCCTGCACACAAACACTGTGCTCASAACTACATTTGGAATGGAAGAGGAACAAAACCACCCAGACACAGCCTCATCATTAGCAAAATAAATAAATACCAGTCCTAAYAAAAAGGAGGTGACCACAAACTCCATTTAACAATGGCCCAATGTTTTACACAGGCATAAAAAGGTTTACTCACTCTTTGAAATTAAATACTGCCTTAACAACACCTGACAACATCCTCTGTTTGCAACTAACGGAAAAAAAGTTAATACTAAATTATACAAGATGTACACAGGTAGTGACCAAGAGCTSAAAAACATAATACAGCATTTCAAAAGATGCAACACAAGATAAATATTTATTTTGGAAGTTAAAGTGGCAGGAGATCAAGTTTTTTTCAGGAGCTTGGTCTCCARTTAAAACAGTATTGCACAACTACAAACAACAGAGCTAACAACAAACCACAGCTTACGCAGCATAGTGGGAATCCTGACGGGCTAAGGACAGACTGCACAGCCCCCAGCTGGAATTTAAAACCAGATTATTGCTAATAAAGCCAGCCTGGGAGCWCTACCTCCCCTTCTCCCTCTTTTCTGTCTCCCATGTCCCTCCAGCCCTCAAACTAATCCACAGGACTTATCTGTCCACAGTTCTCACAGACACTGGGAAATGTCCTGCATGCAAGGCTCCAGAAATTCAGCGGTTTCCTTTATTTAGAGAGTCTGGAATKGGAAAACACTGGGCTAATCACAATGTTTGTTTTTCCCCAGCCATTGGCTGGAAATATCTCCCCGGCTGTAGCACTCAGGAAGGATGTAAAGGAGCGTTTGGGAAGGAAACTGCAGCCACCAAAGGGAAAAGTTTAACAAAATAATTAAGAAGTTTACCAAATGCTATATCCCATGTAACAAGCAACTAAATTCTCAAGTAAAAAAGTTTACTTTCTTTCCTTCTTTCTTTCCAGTACAAAACTGCCTTTAGTAATTTATTGGAAACTCCAACAAACTTTGCAGTAGTATTACAAAACCAATCAACACAACCAACTCGTGGTTTTAATGTCCGTGCAGAGAAAACAATCATTCCCACTGGGACACCACAGAAAAATTTGTGTTGTCAGCACACAGCTCATGAAGGAGCTTGCCAGTACAAATGCTTCAGTTACTGATCAATTATAAAAGCACAYAAACCAGGAAAGTGCCCTCACACATGAAGAGAAACATGTGTGTGAGCCCATCCCCTGGGTCCAGTGCTAGGATAACGAGCTGCAGCCTCACATGACTTTCATGGGCAGTCTGGTGAACAACAGGAATTTGTCTGAGTTCTCTATTCAGCATCCTCACACTGGAGCACCAGAGCACAAGGCAAAGCAGGTTCTCTTTCTTCTAGTGCCATTTTAGGAGGGAAGAAAACACTGAATCAAAATGAAAGGCCCGCTGAAGAGTCAGGCTGCACGGGGTGCCCCTCAAGAGGAGTGCAGGTCACTGACACCAAGCTCAGTGGTGCAGACACACGTGAAGGACAGGGCCATCCAGAGGGATCTGTGCAAATTCAAGCAGTGRCCCATGGGAATCCCATGAGGTTTAACAGGAGCTGGTGCTACATATGGGTCAGGGTAACCCCCAGCATCAATCCAGGCTGAGGGACGAAGAGATCAGGAGCAGCTCTAGGGAGAAGCACCTGGGGGTGCTGRTAGGTGAGAGCTGAATATGACCCAGCCCAAAAACTCCCCATGCCCTGGGCTGATCCCCAGTGTAGGCAGCAGAGATGGGAGGATTCTGCCCCAGTGCTGGAGCCCAGCWTGGGAAGGAYGTGGAGCTGCTGGAGAGAGTCCAGAGGAGGCATCAGGATGATGAGACGGATGGAGCAACTCTGCTGGGAGGAAAGGCTGAGAGAATTGGGATTGTTTAGCCTGGAAAAAAKAAGGTTTTGGGGTGACCTAATTGCAGCCTTCCAGTACCTGAAGGGAGCTGACAGAAAAGGTGGAAAGACACTGTTTACAAGGGCGTGCAGTGACAGGACAAGGGGCAATGGCTTTCTATGGCCAGAGGGCAGAGTTAGGTTGGATAATGGGAAAAACTTCTTTCCTGTGAGAATGGTGAGACCCTGGCATAGGCTGCCCAGAGGAGCTGTGGCTGCCCCATCCCTAAAAGTGTCCCAGGCCAGGYTGGACAGGGCTTGCAGCACCCTGGGATARTAGGAGGTGTCTCTGCCCATGGCAGAGGGTGGAATGGGATGAGCTTTAAGGTCCCTTCCAGCAAAACCAGTCTGTGATTCTGTGAAATCAGCCCTGGATCCACTTCTTTCAGCCACCAGGACAGAGGATGTACAGGATTCCGACATGTACAGCTGCAGCATGGAACTTGTTCTTGCTGTTCTTGTTTATAATTTGGCATACTTAATATTTTATGATAAAGCAACCAATGCTATGGAAACATAAACATATCCAGAAATGTTTGTCAGACAAACCTGAATAGAATTTCATAAGGAAAAACACTGCTCTGGAGCACTTGACACTTTTCAAAGGTCTGTTATAAACAATGGAAGTTTCAGTTTACTTAAAATTATTAAACATCTTTTCTAATGGAAAAGTATTAGGCAACTAAAACCCCCAAGTTCCTCATCAGCTTTCAAGMACAAGGCCACGGCAGCAACAAGAAATAAACATTCACATTTCCCAGATATTATTTACGGTTCTAAAAGAGACATCTGCACCAACATGGAACAGATACCTTTTGTGTCAGACACTGCACTTCTTGCTCTATACGTTGCGTTTAAAGATTTGGGTTTGTAAACACATTTTGTGAAGGCACAAGCTCTGCCTGGTGTCACTCTGCAGCCGATCACAGGGCGAGCACGGATCTGCCACCACCACCTCTAAAACTCACAGTACTTAGTGAAACCTCGTGAACGGTTTGTAGCCGAAAACTGAGGCGTGTGCACAGCCCTCAATTCAAGGAGAAATAAATAGGGAAAAATGCAAGAGAACTGGTCCCCTCCTTAASGAAAAGGCAGAACTACAGGGCTGGGACACGGACGGCGCTTCTCAATGTCACACTCCACACACGCTGTACCAAGTAACACGTGCCAAAGCTCTCAGCGTGTCACGCTGCCTATTGCTTTTAATAAACGCAGCCCCCCTCGCACACGGAGTGATGTGAACAGCTCTGCACAGACTGATTTCAAACCCACCGYCGCAGCGAAGCCGAAGGTGGCCAAGGTCGCGGCACGACAGGACCCGGTCGTGCCTGCCCGGCGCTCATTCATTCCGGCCAGGAGGCCTCCCAGATTTCCTACGGAGCCCAGATTTCCCACGGAAACCTCTAACCTTCAATACAGGGAGTAACCAGAGGTCAAACGCGCCCGGACCGCGGTAAGCCGGGGCCGGGCCGGGACACGGAGCTGGGAGCGGGCCCGGCGGGGGTCCGAGCCCGCGGCCAAGGTCACCTTGCCAGGCCCGGGGTCGCCGGCTCAACCCGACGCCGGGGGCAGCGCAAACGGCGGATCCTCCGGACACCCCTCATCCCTCCCGGGCCCACAGCCGGCTTGAGGCGAGCCCAGGGCGGCGGGGGGCAGTGGGCCCCACACTGCGGGGACGCGGCGGCGGCCGCTCCTTCAGCTCCGGGAAGCCCGGGAGACCACCGTGGCTCTTCCCCGGACCCTCCCGCTCCGCCGTGCCCTCGCCATCCTTACCCAGTTTGACGGCGGAGTCCGCCACACACCGGTCCCACTTCCTGCCYAGGTCGCCCTCCGACGCCATCTTGCCCGTCCCCTCACCTCCTCCCCCGCGCAACTCTCGCGATATCTGGTGCTCCACCTATCGCCCGCGCCCGCAAATCTCGCGAGATTTCCRCTATCGTTGCCATGGTAACCGGCGGGAGGGCGTCATGGCCGCCGCGCCCGACCTTGGGCCCGGCCCAAAATCCCCTTTTTCCCCGTAGGATCCGGCCCAAACCGCCGTTTCCCCCAGTAAGACCGGGTTCGCCACGTTCCCAGCCTGTCCCGGGCTCCATCTCTCCGTCTAGAGCTCCCGCTGTGTCCTTGTTAGCCCTCGTCTCCCTCAGCCTATGGCAACATCCCTACCTCCTCGCAGGCACCTGTGTTGGGCCCGCGCCCGCCGCCCCCCTGCCCGCAGGGCTCTCTCCTCACTCAGGGTAAGAGCCGAGCTGTGTTGTAGGGCGAAATGTCTCATTGCASGGTTGGGTACATCACTGGACACACACTCCCGTGTAGCTTTTCCCTGGCAGTGGTCCTACATCCTACACAGCTCCTGCATCACCTCAGCAGGAGGAAGAACTTTCCGTGAGGGTGGCAGAGCACTGGAACAGGTGCCCAGGGAGGACGTGGAGTCTCCCGCRCTGGAGACATTCCAAACCCACCTGGATGCATTCCTCTGTCACCTGCTCCAGGTGTCCTTGCCTTGGCWRGGAGGTTGAAATRAATARTCTCCAGAAATCCCTTCCAACCCTAATAATTCTGYGAYTTTTGCTCTATGGCCTCAGCTRCTCTTAGCCTCAAATGAGATACAGGTGTGTGAAGAAAAAGGCAGCTGTTGTCAATCTCTATCACTATCCCAGTAATCACATCATTTTAAGAGCAACCTGGGGCCYCCATATTCTTGTTTATTTGAAAAAGGAATTGAATAATCCCAGCACAATCTGTCTATCACATTCAAGAAGTTATTCTACACAGTAGGTTGATAATTAGAATCACAGAATTGCAGCATGGTTTGGGTTGGAAGGGACCTTCAAACCCATCCTATTCCAGCTCCTGCCATGGGCAGGGACACCTCCCACTGTCCCAGGGTGCTCCAAGGCTTGTCCCACCYRGTCTTGGACACTTCTAGGGATGGGGCAGCCACAGCTTCCCTGGGAAAATGGTGCCAGGGCCTCCCCACCCTCACAGGGAAGAATTTCTTCCTTGTATATATACATATAYATATGTATTTCCTAATTTTAGAGGAAGAGGTTGTGGGAAGGGTTCCCACTGACTTCTGGGGCTTCAGCCCACCCTGCAGCGTGCTACAGCTTTGTGGAGCCAGAAACGTAAGTGTGAATGTCTTCAAACCTACTATAATGAATTTCATGTTGCAAATGGTGTGTAGGCTGCCTGGAAGGCATTCTTTAGAAGCCTTGTGAAAAAAACCACAGGGTGTTTGTCAAGTTCTAATGTCCCCATTCACACTGTGAGGCAATTTTTAGCTGTGATTACTTGTTTTGTTTTCTTCAAGTTCTGGCAATTTTCTTTATTGAGGTGGAGGAGGCTCTGCTGCTTCATAAAACTGGAAGTTCTTTRGCAAGTCAATTAGAAACTGAAGCAACAAACAAGTGAAAAATTCTTGAAGCTGGCAAAAATCTCATTAAGTTATTGCTGGTTTAGGTCTTTCRTTTATATCAAAATTATAACTTGTTTTGATCTAGAGTCACAATGAAATATTTTTATCTTTAATTGGTTTGGCTCTACTCCTCCACATCTCACAGAACAATCACAATTGGCTATTATTTTTACTTCCTTATACARTCTATAAAGCTTACTTTGAAAGGCACATGGTTAAATTGAGTCCTTGGAGGTTCAAGAGGTTTCCCTGGGGAGGGCASCCCTTGTTCTGTAGGGGGATGTTCCTGTTCTCTTCCTCCCCCTGCAAATTGCTAAAATCAGTCAGCATTGCTGCATAGTCMGTGTCCAAAATAGAACCATGCATCAAGTTACTTATAAAAATACCAACATGATCCAGCAGTTTTTTTCCCTGAATGGCTACAGAAGTGCTTTCTGAAACCACTGCCCAGTGGTGCCAGCTCCACCCTCCCATTTCCAAACAGCTCTGGAAAATATCAARAGGGGGAAGATAACTTGAAGCCTCCAAAATAATTCTTTAATTTTCATCCCCAAAATTAAATTCCAGCAGGCAGTGTTTAAAACCAACCCAGAAATGTGGTCTTCTCTTGGCAAAAACAAATACTCAGTGCAGGCCAGTGTAATCTCACTTCACACTTACTCATTTTCAGGCTGTTGGGCTCCCTGGAAAATGCTGGTTTTTAGGATGAAGGAAGCAGTGGTGAGCCGCTGGATTGTGAGGCACTTCATAAAAGGTTGTGTTGCTGTGTCTCAATGTATCCTGACAGCCTCACCTCAGGACCTGATGCATTAAACCCTTTCCAAGGGGATGGAATAGTTCAGGGTAATTGTTTTGAACGTTCAGCTTCCTTTGGAGAAATCACTSTGCTGCTTTTAAATCCCAGAGTCACTGAGCCATCAGAGGGGGCTCTGGAAACCGTTATCCATTAAGGATCTAGAGCACATTTTCTGTACCCCTTCCCCACCCCAGGGAAAAATTAAGGCAGGAGGGAATGTGTCCAAAGACAGGCTTTTCTCTCCATTGCTATAGTTACTTGGCAATTAAACCTTCACAGTGCAATATCAAGTATTTATATTGTGGGACTCCAAGGTGATGTTTAGAACGTGCGGTTTTGAAAAAYCTTTTTTGCATTTTACAGCCCAGCATGTGCTGTTTCAGGATTCCTTCCCTCCCTTCTCCCCCTCATGCTCTCCTCTCCTTTTTTTTCCAGTAAATAAGTGTRTGAATAAATGGAGGAAATGAAGCCAGAAAGCTCCAGAATGAGCCCTGTATTTCTCTGGTGGAAGTCACTTTTAGTTGCAGTAGGTTTAGACCTTTTATCACCAGGTTTGTTAGCTATTTACCTGAGTTGTGTATGGAATTAGGATCTGCTCACAGACTAGGAGTTAGACACTGCTTAGGTTTTCAGCAGAAGGCCATTAGATAAGCCAGAGGCAGGATTGGGGATTTCAGATGAATTAGTACCACTATTATTGTTCAAAATTGCTGTTTCCCTGATGTCCGGSRGAATATCCATGCAGAGGGCACSTCCAGYRCTTTGTTCAGTTCTGGGACCCTCACCACAAGGTCATGGAGGGGCTGGGGYRYGTCYAGGGAAGGGAACAGAGCTGGGGAAGGGGCTGGAGTGCCAGGAGCAGCTGAGGGAGCTGGGAAAGGGRCTCAGCCTGGAGAAAAAGAGGCTCAGARGGGAAGTTCTGGCTCTGCACAACTCCCTGCCAGGAGGAGGCAGCTGGGGGAGTTGGGCTCTGCTGCCAGGGAACAGCAACAGGAGGAGAGGACACTGACTTAAGCTGTGCCAAGGGGAGGTTCAGGTTGGACATGAGGAGGAATTTCCCCATGGAAAGGGTGCTCAGGCCTTGGCAGGGACTGCCCAGGGAGGTTTGGAGTTCCCATCCCTGGAGGTGCCCAGGGAAGGCCTGGATGTGGCACTCAGTGCTCTGGGCTGGGGTCAAGGTGGGGGTTGGTCTCAGGTTGGACTTGAGGGTCTGGGAGGKCTTTTCCAACCAGAAGAATTCTATGACTCCACTGCTGTACTTGGAGGTGAGGAGCTCCTCTGGAACTGCACCAGCTGCAATTGAAACCCTTTTCAACAGAACAGACTTCCTTTTACCTGTTAACCTCTGCCTTGTCCATTGGATGAGATGGTTCACCCTCATGGAAACAAGTTTTTGTTTCAAAAGTTCCTAGCAAGTTTCTTTTAAATCTTAAACCTTCCCCAGGATAAGAGTATCACCTCTTACCCTATTTTTTTCAAAGAATCCTAAAGCTTCCCTCCTGTCATTTCCCCACTGGATACTAACACACTCTTGCTCTCTCCCCTTTTCCAAAGAATACACATGCAGCTTCTCCCATAGTTTTAAATAACATGAATCACCTCCCACACACACATTTATTATTTATTTTTCTGCCAAGATCTGCACAGGAAGGCAGCAGTGWAGGAGTTATCTGCTTGAAATGGTTGACACAGCCTTGGTGTGGGCCCCCACTCTCTGTTTCCTGCACTTCCAGAACAATTCTTTCATGTTACAGAGAGAGCAGACCGGGGTGGGAGCCTCCAGCTTTCAAGCTCCACTCCGGTGTGTTGGGTTTTTCCTCCCAAACATAAGCCACATTCACCAACAGACACTGATGCTTTTTTTTCTCTCTTTGAAAACCTTTTAGCTATCCAAGCAACAAYTAAAAAAAAAGTCTGAGGAAACAGAAACCCCTCCTCAGCAGGACTTTGCCCTGAAATGGGAAAGGTGCCAGCGACTCCATTAAGTCTCCTGTGCTATCCTTATTGATTTGATGTGCACAGCAGTMAGATGCTGTGGGATGAACAATAGTTTGAGGCTGAGCTGAGTTGCATTAGGAGGGAGGGCTTGTGCTGCAGTGAAACATCCTGCAGGCTTTCCATGGGGATCACATCCACTTTAAKTAGCACGTTTTGTGCCTGGGCTGATGGATTTCCACACCACTTTGGYTGGATTCAGTGTGTGGTGCTGCTGGTTCCAGCTGTCAGGTATGGCYGGTTGAAGCAGAACTTGGAAAAACGGGACAAGATGTGTCACAGCTCCTTGTGCTAATTCTGCTCTAAGCTGCTTTTACCATGAAGATGAAGTTTGCCCCAAAAATCTCAGCAGGAAAGCACGTGCATGGAAACACTGACCTGAGTTTYTGCCAACTCTGAAATTCCAGGCAAAAAGCAGTGCTCTGACATTGTGTCTTTATCTTCTGTGTACTATTTTGTGATAATTTTTTAGAATAGTAGAAACAGAAAAACTCTTTGTGTTGTATTGATGAGGTTTTCTAATGAACAAGCCCATGAAAAAGTGCTATTTTTCAGCCYTTTAGTATATTTTTCCATTCTTCCATGTCTCTAGCTAATTCTATACAGATTTTAACTAGTGAACCGTGACCATTGTATTAAGAAAGAATCCAGGCCCTTACAATTCTTTTGGCTG